CATTAAACCGAATTTTAAGATGTTCATTCGAAATATTTGGCAGTTTGGTTATGTAAAAGTACAGCAATAGCTAACGATCAGACAAACAAAACGACGTACCAATGAAGAAGACATTTAGTACAGAAATTGTTACTATTCAACGAGAATGTGACCTATGAACACAATGAACAGGTGTGAAAGAAATAATATAATTTCATATTAAACATTTTAAAACTTTGGAATGGAAATTAAAATAAAATTACAAGGTGGATGTTTCACATGATCGAATGTTTACATTAGCACTTAGATAGGTACCATCCGCTTTGATGAAGATCATACAGATTAGCATCAATGACTGTAAAGAATACCAATAATAAATCATTTCGCAATGCGATGGAATGGATTTTATGTAATCCCCTCCCACAAGAATTAAATAATAAAGTAAGTAAACAAATAAACGAGAAAAAAAAAATAAACAAAAAATTGTCGTTTAAAATACAGTTTGAATGGATCCAGTAATTGGTTAAATAGATGTCTTGTGAAAATAGTGCACACAGCAAATGAAAATGAATGTAATATATCTCTAAATATGAATGCGATATTGGCAGGGAGAAACAGTGGTATGGAGAAAAACTATATTAAACCTGTTTTACACACACACACACACACACACACACAGAGAGAGAGAGAGAGAGAGAGAGAGAGAGAGAGAGAGAGAGAGAGAGAGAGAGAGAGAGAGAGAGAGAGAGAGAGAGAGAGAGAGAGAGAGAGAGAGAGAGAGAGAGAGAGAGAGAGAGAGAGAGAATATTTCAATGTGTTAGTCCTAATAAATACAAAGTTGGAAGGCACCATATTATTGGAATAATATATCACAGATCTTTAAAATTTGAACGACAAGTATCAGGGACAACAATATATCTGAGAAAATGTTTGATTTGTTCCTATACATTAGAGAGACTTACTTGAACAAAGAAGACACAAAAATGATATTAGAGTGGATACAACTCATTGGGTATAATGCCTAAAAAAGGACGCAGTTGTCAAATTCAGCAACTAAGTCAATTAAAGATCCGCTTGTCGTGTATTTTATTTCTGAAGGTATCATTATACCACTGACATAGAATTGTAATGGTGCTACTCAGCAAAGAGATATATTCTGGAATGCAAACAGATAAATATATTCCATCAGGATTTTGCACCCACCTTAAGTCAATTAACAGAATTTATAAACCAATCAATCAATTCATTCAGGCATTGATTTCACTCGGCTGTTTTAAAAACTGTTTGGGTAAGGTAGCAAAACAAGTTTATGAGAGTTAAGACTTATAAATGCAACCCTATGGTGTTCAAAGAGGAAGCTGAAAGATATCTTAACAAATAAATGATAAATGTGTGAAAACAATGTTCGTAAAGACAAAGTATGCGACCACAATAATGTGACATAATGAATTGAGATCCTGCTCATGCCGACTGTAACTGAAATTTCGGATACCCAAATGTATCACACTATGTATCCACACTATGTCCAGATATATTTTGATTATTAAGAGAAATTTCTTTAAACCGAAGAAATAAGCCGAGTTTACATAATTGGCAATAAATAAATAAAATAAATAAATAAATAAATAAAAATAAAATAAAATCGTCGCAGATGCGTTGACCTGTCCCCGTGCGGAGTGTTTCCTTTTGTAAGAAGTCTTTCCAAAAGTTGATATATGGCGTGTGAACACTTACTCGGATTAATTTATGCACATGTGAAAATGTCAGGGTTTCTCAGTTGGAGGGAGAAATTACATAGTGCATAATGTGATGAAACGTTGATATTATCTGGTTTAAATGAATCCCAACCATGTTAATACCAATATCTTTCAAGATTCTGTATTATTATATGATTTGGCACAAAAGGGCGACATTGGGGCTTGAAGATGTATTTTGATGCAAGTGATGTTGGCGTTGGTGAAGTATTAACTCAAGATGACAAAAATGGTGGATTATCCAGTGTTATTTTTTATTTAAAGAATTAATAAGCATCTGAGAAATTATTCCACAGTCGAGAAAGAATGATTGGCTTTGATGATGGCTTTGCAACACTTTAAAATTTATATCAGTTCTGCTCCTTCTCCGGTTATTATATTCCGTAATTACAGCCCCCTTTCATTCATATATAAATCGAAAAAGTCAAAGATTGTTAAGGTTAGTTTGATGTTTGAGGGATAAAATATTGCCCTCAGGCACAGCATAGGAAAAGATGTAATTGCAGATGCACTTTCACGTATATAGAAGTACCATGTTGCCTTATGTATATTTGATTATTATGTAAAAAGAAAGCGTTATTGTGTAAATCTTTATTTTCTTTATGAGGGGAGGTGTTATGCATATTTAATTTGTGTTGTGAGTTTAATTTTTTTGTTCATCATTTTTTTGTTCATCATTATAGATTGTAAGGACCCATCTGAGTAGTGGCAACATATTACAAAGTTAATATTTGTATGTCATTGTAGATTATGCATCAAGATAATAATAAATATTAAACAAATTTACAACAGTTTAAGTTCAAGATGAAGCCTTGATTCTAACCCTAGAAGGTAAAAAAAAAATAATTATGTTGACAATATTGGAGCAATTTTCCATTAAGATAGCAGGGTATTTTCATAAAATGGTGGTTGTGACGTAGTTCAGGTATATGAAGTTATTTATATTGGGAATTACTTAACATCTAAAGTGGAATCAGTCTTATTGTTATATTGTTATATTCAGTTTAAATTTGAGAGGATTTATTCATTTAAATTATTAACTGGAGCTGCAAAGTGCTCATTGATTTAGGACTAATATATTCTTTTTGGAATTAATGTGAATCCATTCAAGGATAGTTTGGATTATATCATTGTGTTACATCAAGACCTTTCCACATTAGCTATTCCAGACTAATGGCACATCAGCATATTCAATATTGGAATTCAGAGATCACCACTGGAATTCATTTGTAACTCTATACATCAGACTTGTGATATAACTTTAAGGACTACGCAATATTGGATCTAAGCACTCAAGCAGCAATGATATTGGAATTGGATCAAGTTCACATGACTTTGGTGAACTCTTCATCACAATTGTATGTACTAAATCCATTGAGACAGGATCAAATGCTGCAAACAGTTGCCACCAAAATTCTATATCACAACTGTATGGTGACGAGTCAACTGAAATGGTATTGTAAAGCTTATCTCTAATGGTTTATACTTTGTCAATGAAGAAATCTGCAAACAGGTCTGGAAAGTTGAATGGAGAGAAGGTAATTGGAAGTGGTGTACATTTGTTCCTTGACAGTAGCTTGTTAGTAATCTTGAATAGCTCTTTGCAGCTAGAACTTTCCGTGATCTTAGTACTGATTTTGCTGTATGGACTATGTTTGTGACATTCTTCTTTGCTTTCTGGTGGAAAGCCAAATCCTCTCAGCCTTATTGCGGTCTATTTTAGCAGTGCAAAGATGTTCTCTAACACTGCTATACCACAGAGAACACTGTAGGAGCTAAGATAGTTGTCAGGTATGCTTGGACGTCTTGCATTATCATATTTATCATAGAGGTTTCTCTTAGTAGCAAATAAATGTGGAGGGTTAGGAAATGATATGTCAAGATGACATATAATGCAGAGGTGATCTAATACAAGTTCATCAGTCACCAGGGTGGACCATAGAGTATTATCATCAGTTCTATGAAGAATCCAGTCTAAAATGTGACCATGTTTATGGGTGGGAAGGTTAACTGACTGTTTGAGGTTGAAAACATGAATGAAATCTAGTTTTGATGTGTATGGGTTTCCAGGACAGTCAAAATGAACACTGAAATCAGGTTAACACCTACTAAATTTCCATACTCCAGGAGATTCGGTCAGCTTGTTTTTTCTACAAGGAGAAAACAAATGGACTAACCTTTATTCCAGTGTGAATGTGGTCTGGACTATTTTAATGATGTGTGGTAGAAATTGAAGGTTGTGGTGTGGTTAAGATGTTTGATCATGGAGTTCTTTGCAATTCCACTCTCAGTGAGTGGGGGGGGTAATGACTTATGGAGTATCTGGTGGGTGTTAGATCCGTGCACTTGGGCTTATCAACTGATGTTTTTAGCCATGTTTCTGTCAGGAAAAGGTGTTAGCATTCTGATCATTTATAAAATTAACTACTTCTGTGCACTTTTCTAGTGGTTCTACTGATTGGGCATAGAATAATGTGATACGCAGTTCTATCTCCTGGATAATTGACACAAAGGTTGACGATTAGATTTTCCAAATTGATTTCTTTCTCAGTCTTTTTTTTATAACACAGCACTTTTGCTTCAAAATTTATTTGTATAGGAAAAAGGATACATTTTAAAAAACCACTCCCACACTTACGTTTTCTTTCAGTCTGTACCCTTTCCTGTAAATTTCTTCAAGATATATTTCTAAATATATTTCCTTCCTATATTTATAAAAAGATTTGCAATTTTTTAAAATATTTCATTTCATTTTTTTTCTTTCCATCTGTTGTGCTTGTATGTGGTAAACGACTCTCCTCACTGTTGATGTGATTAGCACTGACCACTTTGCTTTTGTCATTGATACTGTTTTAATTAGGGATGGCAGATGCTACTATCCGATTTTGTTTCAAAACTTTGTTGTAAATCAATTTTCACGTAAAAGCCCTTGCAGCAATACCTACAAATGTACTAAAGTCAGGAAAAGCCAGACTATCCAAATCTGTAAATATCTCTGCTAATTCCAATCCAGATGCACGAACTGTGTGTGTGTGATTTAGATTTTTAATGTAGCTTTAACAATTTTTGAGTCATATCGTTACAAAGTCTGCAGTGTGACAGTTTATAGTGATGTCTAGCACTGGGCATCATGCCGCAGACATGTGGCATTATGTCCCACCCATTCACATTAACCTGACTCCAGGCAAACCAATCCTAACACTAACCTCCTAATGCTGAGTGCCAAGCGAGGCAGCTGTTAGTACCATATTTTTAAAGTCTGTGGTATGACTCTGCCAGGGTTTGAACCTGCGACCTCCTGCATCAGAGCAAGATGCTCTAACCACTAGGCCACCCAAGTGGGTGATGTATGTATGTATGTATGTATGTATGTATGTATGTATGTATGTATGTATGTATGTATGTATGTAATGTATGTATGTATGTATGTATGTATGTATGTATGTATGTATGTATGTATGTATGTATGTATGTATGTATGTATATAATTTATGTAATTTATGTATGTATGTATGTATGTATGTATGTATGTATGTATGTATGTATGTATGTATGTATGTATGTATGTATGTATGTATGTAATGTATGTATGTATCTATGTATGTATGTATGTATGTATGTATGTATGTATGTATGTAGGTATGTAGGTATGTATGTATGTATGTATGTATGTATGTATGTATGTATGTATGTATGTATGTATTTATGCGAACCTCATTAATCCAGACTCCATTATCCAAAAACCTCATTATCTGGACATAGTTCAACTGTAACAAAATTCCTAAACACTAATTTGCTCCATTAATCCAGAAATCCATGTTCTGGATATGGAAGTAAAAATCACTCCATAATATGGAAATAATCTGTCCAAATATAAGAAAATTTGAAGAACTGTATACAAAAATACAGTCAATTAGATAACACATATTCACCAATGAAATCTGAAGTTCGTGATTTTATCAATTTCTGATTGGTGAAATTCTAGTGGCATGTTAACGTTATACATTTATTGTGTGACTGTGTTTATGCAAAAACTTCAAATCGAGTGACTGTATTGTAACCAGAGATTGTATAAACAAATGTCAGCCTTTGCTACTCACTGACGGGCATGTCAATAATTAAATATACTCACTGGGATCAAATGAACCACACTTTTGACATACAAAGGTAAATAAAGTGTGCCATTAGGACTCTTTGTTGTTTACTGATTGTATGATACAATCACAGTTTGCTGATGGCTGTACAAATAAAGTTGATTGATTTAAGGTGATGTCATTTATCTGTTCATTAGTAGCTACATCATTTGTAAAAAATGACTTACGACAATGACTGCAGTGGCTCAGTTTACCATAATGCATTTAACTGTGAGATATGTTTGTATTTGTTGTAATTTGTACATGTATTATGGCAACACCATCAAGCAAGCATAGACAAGTAGAGATAATGACTTGCATAAATATATATTTTCTAACAAAATCACATTAAACTTACATTTACTTATATGTACAAGTACATGTTATAATAAAGTGAAAAAAATGCAAGTCAACAGATGTAATCATTAGTTTATTTCAACCCTTATTGAATATAGACAGAGTGCATTTACAGCTAGAAAACAAATGTACATGATTCAGTTATCCAGAAAACTCATTAATTTTGATATAATTACTAGGAACAAAAGTGTTTGGATCAATAAGGTTCCACTCTGTGTGTGTGTGTGTGAAAATGTAAGAGATACACCCTTTGCCATATGGATGCCACCTGTTTTATGATCTCTATAGATGTTGTGCTACATACATTTAGGCTATATTTTGAAATGTATTTTACAACTTATCCTTTTGTGATGCTAGGCCATATTTTTTTAAATTTTTGTCTTAAATACACAAACATAATCTTCATGGACTAATAATACTTATTTACTCTGCGGAAAACATGTACAACATAGGCAATGTCCCATTAGACAAATTTATATGCGGTAACAACACATTATATGCTGGCCAAATGTTTAATCGATCCTATATCAACATCCCTCTTCCATAACTTAAGTGCATGCCTATAACAAACTCAAGTCACATGGTCCAGACCTAAAATCAGTTTCTTCTTTCAGCAACAGTGACCACAACATCTGACCCTGGGTACTGAAGTTCATGTTCCCATTGGTGGTAGCCAAAACAGTAATTGGCTTTTAATTTTCAGAAATGACCATTAGATTTTTATTAAATATCAACATTTTGCTATTGACTTTACCCTTCATTTTCTTTTGTAAATTAAATACAAGTTTTAATGTCAAACAAAAAATTAGATTTTTTTGGTGACTACCACTGAAACATATATAGTGGGAACCCAGGAAGTGAATGTTGACACAGGAAATACCTACTGTTAACCCTACATAACAAATACATATCAGTCTGTGAAGGCCTATTGTGAGAAAGCATACTACACAATATACATTTCCAAAAATGAGGAGCAAATTTCTCTTCATGACTTTTATTCATAATAACAGGTACTTTCAATGTCATTTCACACAGCAGTGATTAAAAACTTAATTAATATAAACATATAAATATCTACTTCTTTTCTTGAGGTTTGTTCCCTTCTTTATTCATGGGAACCTCTTCTGCATCCTGAAGTTGTTGGTATTTGGGGAAAGTCTCCCATGGTGAGCTGCATTCAAACTTGCGGAACTCCTGGGTAAGTTCTAATGGCTCTACAACCACTCTTTTCACCTCATCGTCATATCGTACCTAAAATAAAAGAACATTGCATAAGACTGAAAACTTGAGTTAGGTGTAATGTTGTGTCTCATCTGCTACACTGCTGCAGAATTCAAAAACCTAAACAAATGTTCTCATCAGGTTTCACAATTCAATAAGCACCAACTTTAGAAGCACAGTCAATATGAAGACCAAAAATAATTACTGGGCTTGAAAAGAAGTTCACAGTGACCTACTTCACAAAAATGAATGCATCTGTCAAATTTCAAGACTACATAAAATTTTAGAGAAATGACTGCCACAAGAAAAGTGATACCTGCATTTCACCCAAGATTCACAGGTGGGACAACTAAATCTGGCTCATCTCAAACTAGCCTTAAGTATAAATGCATGGCTACAATACTATTATTAATTTCAGCACAAATTCTGGAATCCTACCGGCAAAAGTGCACATCATGAAAAGGGTTTTATTTATTTATATGTGCTTTTAATTTATTAGATACTTTGAACAAGAAAAAGAAAACTAAGGCTGATTTGATCTACACAATCGAGTAGCCTTTACAAATGCTATGTTTTGTTGCCTGAAACCAAAATTATAATGGTCTGAAAATAAAAGACTTTTAAACATAATTCACAAGGCCTAGAAAAGGCACTAGAAAAAAGTTCATTTACATGGCATTTCTTGAATTAATCTAATATAAATAGAAATGCAAAATGTCAGCCTTTTCTTTCAGATTCAAGCAAAACATGATTTAATGCAATCATTTACCTTCCATGTGTATTAGCAAGTGTAAACCTCTGAAAACTTAGTGAAAATAAATAGGATGCATAAGAATCAGTCTTATTACTAAACTTGTGAAAAATACAAACCCTAAATTGACTAAACATTATCAGTTTTATCACAGGCATAAACTGTTACCTCAACATATCCTGAAAGAGGGAACTCCTTTCTTAAGGGGTGACCTTCAAATCCATAGTCTGTCAGGATGCGCCGAAGATCAGGATGATTAGCAAAGAATACACCAAACATGTCCCAGATCTGTGAAAAAAATCATTTCTGAAGTTGTCGATACCAAGTACTGATTCACAAAAGTAATAGGTCTAAAGAAGACTAAATTCCTTACCTTCTCTTAAATGAAATTTTTGCAATGAGAAGACATAGGTTTGGAAAAAGGATATTTTGGGGAGAATGGGCTCATCAATGATTTAAGCTTAATTACATCAAAATGTACCAAATGGAAGAGATGGGTTCATCATTACGCTGGGGCCTTGCATCAGAAAATTGTGGTGTCTACCTATCTATTGGAACAGATGGATGAACAGACAAATATGTAGGAAAAATAAAAGTAATTTTCTCTAACATAAAAAATTTGAGAAAATCTATTTAAAAATTACTGACATCATTAAATTATAAAGAATTATGGTGACAATAAGGTTCCAGTTCAGTGCCATTATAGCACTAATTTTTAAATATATTATTTTGAAGATTATATCACTTAAGCACATGTGGAAGACAAGGTAATTTTTGTTCCATATTCCAGTCAGATATAGTCTCTTCGTAATCAAACTAGAACAGTACAAACTTAAAGGATACTAATGTATCACCTGACACATTTAAAGTGGAGGAAATTAGGCCACAATTACCTAGTGAGCTTGTGAGTTTGTGACTGACATGCTCATTGAGTTAAATCCCCTCAGTACTATTCATTTACCATCAATAAAAAATAGAAATAATATAGGATTAAATAAACAATGGTTGGGTAATTATCGATGTGCAAATTGTACCTAATCACTCGTAAAGTAAATAATGTCTGAAGGACTTTATGTAAACTTGTGTGAGTGATTTGGATTTTTAACATAGCTTTAACAATTCTGCAGTCATATTGTTATGATGTCTGCAATGTGGCAGTTCGTAGTGATGTCTAGCATTGGGAAATCTTGCCAAATAAATATTGCATGATCATCCAGTCACATTATCCTAACAACAGGCTGGCCAGTCCTAAGACTAACCTCTTAACACTGAGTGCCTAGCAAGGATGCTGTCAGTACCATACTTATAAGTCTTTGTTATGACTCAGCTTTGGTTCAAACTCGCAACCTACTGCATCTGGGGCAGACAATCTACCTACTTTGCTACCAGAGCGGTTGAACTAATTTTTGTAAATCTCCTGATCTCTCCTAAGCTGACCTGTCACATGTATTAAAAAACTTTAATGATTTTCTCATTTCTTTGCCAAATAATGACACAGTAACCAAGTTTGGTTTGTTTTTTGCATCATACTAACAGATGCAACCCATTGACATATTTGAGGCCTTAAGACTTAGAGTGCCAAAGACATGTTTATCTGGAAGGCTTTATCATTCTGAAGCTTTTATTTCAGCTGTCTATCTTTACATTTATAGAGCAAACACTTTAATCAGCAGTGCCACAGCTCAAACTTCCTATTCTACTGAGCATGTGGCTTGGAAATTTTACATGTCCTGCACAAATTTAACTTCATTCTACACTGTACCGAATACTGAATCTGGTTAAAATATCACTCAATTCTACTGGATGAACATCTTGAAAAAATTACTCATCCTTTCTCAGCCATCACTAATAAATATGAACAGACAAATGTACTT